GGTTGGCTTCATTTCTCAGGGCCGGTTGCTACGTCCATCTTTTATACAGTCTATGTTCTAAACAGGTTTTTTCAGTCCCTTTAGCTTTAATTATGTCGCCTTCCACCTGCCCTTCAGGAAGAAGACTCTCTCTGCAACTGGCTGACAGCACCAGGCGTAACAGTTGACAGTATGGCAGCAGACGTTGCTAGGTGCAGTTTTATTTCCTGTTTCAAACTCTCTCTCTGAGTCATCATTTTACATGGAAATATCACTGATTTCACAGCACGGTCATTGTTTTTAACCCATGTTTGGTGAGTTTGTCAGACGGTGTTATGGTTTTTAAAAAACACAACTGTAGTTTAGCAGTACAGAGCAGCAGCTTGAAAATGGCTCTGAAATGACGGCTGGTTAACATCTAGCCTTAATGGGCACTGCACTCAAAAAGGGAAATTGACTGCCTGTTACATTTAGTGCAAAATGGACTTTGTACAACATGTTTCAAAAATAAACATGAATAAATAATGCTGTATTGGCATAATATTTAGCAATTTAGCAATTCATGTTGAGACAAAATAAGACAATCTTGTTTATTTCTATGCAGTGTTCATATTTTTAACGCAATTAAATATGTTTCCGTGATACATTATTATTTGAATTAACTATATCATGAAAAGTATTGTTTGCATGTGATTAAATGACTTTCTTTTAGCAGTAAGTAATTCTCTTAGACTATGTAATTTCAATAAATCAACTTCACTTACTCATCTAATATTTAAGACTGCAATTTTAGTTTGCCCAATTTGATTAAATTAAGTTGGACCCGACCCTTGGAAATACGTTGAATCACCCCTAATATATTATGTTGAGTCAACACAAGTAAATTAAGCTGTCAAAGCTATTTATTCATACAGATTTTTTTTTAGTCTTTTATGCATATTCTCAGACTCTTTTGTAATGGGAAACAGGTGACTCCAAAACACAGAAAACAACTCAGTCTTGTGTACTGGTTTCAGATCGCTCTTAAAGATTCCACCATCTCTCAATGTCTGACAGCTTTGCAGCTACCACAGAGCTCTGGCCCGTGGACATAAGATCAAAACTAATAAAAATGTCAGCCACATTAGCTGCACAACATGTTAACACTAAACACTTTACTGCAGCTGGGGGGACACTGCCATCATTAATGACATCAATCCACTGAGTCTTCAGATGCTGGGAGTGCATGAAGACTCTTGTGCTCACTCTTGCAGCCAACAGCAGAACATGTGGTGTGCTTTACTTGTAGTTGAGACATTTTAGAGATAGCAGCTCTGGAAATTAAATAAACCTGGTGGACTATGAGGCAGCTGTTCATTCTAAATGGCTCACTTCAAAGCCAAGACAGCAGGATGATAGAAAGTTTGAGTTAGGTGGCTTCTGTGGTTGAGTAAAATGCTTACTGTCTTGTGAAGCTGGAAAGGCTATGTAGCTGAGGGGAGGCAAAAGTAAACATCTTCACGTCTTAACAGCTGTTCCGTTACACCTCTAGCCACAAAACACAATAACAATTGGATTTCCGCCATATGGGACCAAAGAAATGCCACCACAGCATTTGTGGCCGCTCATATGAACGACTGACTGGAACAGGCCACACAGCAGGAACAAAGAACATAAACAGCTTACCTGTGAAGACTGCGTGTCAGGCTGGCAGGTTGATGGAGAGGGTCATTTGGTGCTGAATATACATTTTTCTTGGTGGACATTTTGAGTTAGAACAGCTGAAAGAGCATGAGTGGAATAAATTAAATGAAAACCATCAAGTTCTAGTGAACCCTTGAAGTGCCTCACCTGAATGGAAGCTGCTGTCAGTGTCATCAGCAACACCTGTGCTTGTCCTGCCATGAGGAGCCAAAATGGCTGCCGGGGCAAAGGGCTACTAGCATTTACGTATGCTTGTTTATTGTTAGCCTTGAATAATAGTGTGGGTTGTGGCAGAGCTTTTTATATTTTATATCTGAAAGTTATCCTGTTGTAAGCGTACTTAGACAAACTCCAAACTTAAACAAAATGATAATAATAATGTGCAATTTTTTTTACACGTGGGGCTAACTAGCAGCAGCTAGCTTGCTCGGCTCCCATTCCTCTGCTCGTCCATATTTCTTTTAAATAACAATTTAATGATAATGGGGGATGAACTCACCAAACATCATCTACCACAACCTTGCAATACTTCTCAGAGTGTTTTAATTCCCTGTTTAAAATTTTAGGAGTTTAGCATAATCTCTTACCCGCCCAAAGCTAAATGGCAAAGGTGGCAACTAGCTAGTGAACGCAGTAGGACCATTAGCCGCTAATGAGCTAGCCTCAGGAGCTAGTGGAGACAAAAACAGATGAAAAGAGAGACTGGATTTCACCATTTTCTTAAAGACCGCTGCTGTTGAAGTGTTAAAAAAGGAACTATTAGCTTGCCATATAACTTTAATACATTGATATCTAAATATTGTGTTTACAGCCAAATTTACGGCTCACAAGTGGCTAAAAAAAAATCTGATTTTAAACATTATGTGTACAAACACAAATTACAGTCATCCTCAAATTTATTCATACCCTTCCAATTAAAGAAAAGGCCTATTTCATCATAGTCACTAAATAAGTAGAATCTGAAAAAAGTAATAATAAATAAAAATTTGCTAAATTATAGTTTGGTGAAATAAGACATTGCTTTTGAATTGTGGTTGAGGGAAAAAATAAAAATAAAAAATTGTCACAGCCAAATTAGAGCACTTTGCTAATGAGCAGTGGACCAAAATCAATATTGCTGTCAACAGGTGCAGAAGTCTGACTGAGAGTTACAGAAGACACTTGATTGAACTGATTGGCTCAAAGGGTTGTTCAACAAAATATTAGTTTACGGGTCCCATCATGCTTGTTTACTTGTTTTTGTTTTTATTTTGAATATTTCTGTTGAACCAGAATTCAAAAGCAATGTCATGATTTTCCTAAATTTTTTATTTATTATTACTTTTGTCAATTTCAACAGCTGTTTTTGTCCTTCTTTTACGGGAGGGTATGAATAGATTTGAGGACGACTGTACATTGCGTGCGCTTTCTCATCTGTAGAGGTATTGTTAGAAAGGGAAACCGTTGCTCATGGCATTTACAGGTCATTGCACATTTACAATGCAAATAGACATATGCCAAAGATACACATCAGTCGATGGCAGCAGCCTTTTTACTGCTTTCCGTCACAGCCGGGAACAAATAAAAAAAAAACTACAGTGAAGGCGGTTTCTATATCTGCACATGCATATCGACGTTTCTGATGTGGACCATGATCACTTTTCATCCAAACAACCCTCTCGCACCGAGCGTTACTGCAGTCACGCAGCCTTTAGGGCCACAGTGGAATACAGATGTGATGGAGGTTGTGCGTGGAACTGACAGCATTGTCTCTAATTGCCTCTGTGGGACTCCCTGTTTGGAGATAACAAGGTGTCTCGGTTCATAAGAAATGCATACGGTACGTCTAACAGTTTATCGTCTGTGTGGCGAGCTCGCTGGCCGGCCATGTGAATTGGCATCGGAAGACTACAGAAGCATCAAAGAGTGACTTCATGATCCAGGAAAAATAACAACAGCGTCTAGTGAAGTAGATTTTGCATGAGACATACCGAACAGGAAAATATGTATTTGATCTTATCAGAGGAATCCTGTCAGGTCATTAACAAACACTAAGAACAGTCTGAGGTATTTATCCTTGAGGAGAGCATGTGATGGCAGCATGACATCTCAGGGAAAGATCCAAACTATTACAAAAGGGAACACAATCGAGTGTATTTATTCTGTTTTGCGCTTCTGCGGCGAATTAAACTAACCGCACAATCGCTCACACAATAACACGGCAGCTCCGTTTGGTTTGTAAATGGTTTTTATTAGCAAAATAAGGGAGATGAGTCTACAAAGATTCTCCTTCCACGGAGAACATACACATACATAGACAGTTGTGGCAGTTTCTTTATATGAACAGATCCGGGACCATATTTATCGTCGCTCCTCTTGGCAAAGTAGTTCTGATCTAAAAATCACAGACCAGGCTCCCTTGACCATCTTAGTTTATAATCGCATGGTGCAAAGGCGCCATAGATCCTCAAGCCGTGCCTCTACTCTCCAGTCATCAGATCCGAGAACGACGCCTGAACCTTAAAACATTTCAGACCTCATCCTCACCTTTGCAACCATCTATTCTGTGGTTCAGTTTTTTTTTCTTCCCTCTCTCTCTCTTTAACACCAAAAACTCCATAACCTCTCCTCCAAATACATTAAAATATACAGTAAAATGTGCCTACTCTGGTCTTTGTACTTTAAACACTCGAGCACATCATACGCTCAGTGCCTCAGCTAACCATTGTCTGAATGGTTGGGATGAATGAATATTTTATACACTGTTTAAAAACCAGAACCCCAGATTTGTGGGGTAAATGTAACAATATACATCTCAGTATTGTACTGTGTGATCGGCCAGCGAGACCTTCCATTGTCATGGCGGGTGGGGGGGTGAGGGGATGGGGGGAGGTAGGGGGACTGTGGAGGCTACATGTTGGTCACCATGGAGACCCATGTACCTTTAGACCAGAGGGAAATCTTCCTCCTCCTGATAGCTCAGTGGTATGCACACAGAAGATAGCAGAGACACTAACATATGAAAACAGTTTACCTCTTTATGTCTAGAACAATTCAGCAGGCAACAGAACAAGCATCGGGACTACGACCGCAGTAAAAAGGCATGCGAAGGCACAAGTACCAACAGACTGGACTCAAAGTCGTACCCCTTTTCTTCCCCTTTTTTTTTTTGGTTGTAGGGAAGGAAGAAAAGAGGCATTTCCACCAACAGCAAAGATTCCTTTTCCAGAGACAGCGGCAGAAGGAACAGCAAAAAAAACAAAACAAAAAAAATAAAAAAAGCGATCTCCTTCCTCTCCTCGAAAAAAAAAAGAAGAAAAAAAAAATGCGCGAAAATTTGCGGTGACGCTTTTACAATGATACAAACATCTTACACAAATGTTGTAACGCTAGTTCAAAAATGTTCCAAGACAAAAAACATAAATAAAGCTGTTAAAAGTGGCATATAGTACAGCACTGGTCCGTGACTGATCCTCCCGACTCTTCTCATCTTCCCCACCAAAGATGCACAATAAGCTGGCTCCACTGCCTGAGGACGAGAGCAGAAATAAAGAAACATGAAAGGAGGATATTTGGAGGACTGATGAAAAGAGAGGCTTTGCAGAGCTTGACCTCTCCGCTATCGTTCCTTGTACATCTAAATGGAGTACAAAATGAATTTAAGTCTTTGATAAAAGAAGGCGCTGATTTCAGCGATTCAGTGGTAAAAATTGGATTGTGCTGCATCTTTGTGGTCAACTGCAGCTTTGCTCTGCCATAAATCTGCATGCTTAAGCTCTGGAAACACACAATTTAATGCCAATTCATGAAACAGATAGAAAGATAAAAGCTACACTGCAGCATTTTAACCACAACACGTGCACTCAGCCGTAATGCTGAGATGCACCTGTTCACTGCATGCGGCCGCGTAAAAATGCTTCGAACCTTGACAGAGCTCTGCTTGTTACACGTGATTACGAGTTCTTTACCAAGAAAAAAGGTTGACGTCTTCATCCTCGTTATCTTCAGAAGAGACCACAGTCTTTCAGGTTGTTCTTGATAATGACGTCGGTGACGGCGTCGAACACAAACTGCACATTCTTGGTATCTGTGGCGCAGGTGAAGTGGGTGTAAATCTCCTTGGTGTCCTTCCTCTTGTTCAGGTCCTCGAACTGACACTGGATGTAGGCAGCTGCTTCCTCGTACGTGTTGGAGCCTTGAAAAGAGGAGGATTAGGAAGTGAGGCAGCCAGGAAGCCAGCGCACAGAAAGGGACATTGAAAACACACACTTGTATGGTTTGAGTTAATGAATGACACGGCTGAGCTTCATCCTGCTAAACAGGCTTCCTTTACAAGTGTGAGAATTTCTTGTAATCATATGATGGCACATCAAAGCTGAACGCTGTGAAAGTTAGTTAGTTATTACGCATTTCACATTTTTTAATGTGTATAAAACCAATTACAAACACATAAAGCTGTGGTTTTATAGGAGATTACTGGACTATCTCACCACAGTAGTCTGCTTCATAAACGTTGCTCAGCTGAAACTTGTTGGTTTTAGACGTCGCTATCATTTACACAGACTGAGCTAAGGGTTTTTTATTCTATTAGCTTAACATTTTCTGGATTTTTCTACTTTTAAACAAGAGCTAAACTGATTTCAAACAATGTAAAGAGAAAATCGCAATGAAGAATGCAGGTTATGCAACATGTGTGACACGGGGTTTAAAGTGTAGTCGTCATGTGACAAGCACAAGCGCTTCATGTCTTAATACTGCATGACATGTTTTAAATCTATTACACGGCAAACACTGAACTGAAGTCTGAGCTAATAATAATTACAATGCAAATCAATTTGCAATTTCTCCAAGAAAAATCACAATTCGATAATTTCCCTAAGTCACTGAGCTCTACTTTCTTATCACGGTTTCGGGTTCAGTAAGCTGGGGAGGGGGGCATCGTCAACTTTAATGTGTTTTTCATTTATTTGGTAAAAACAGGTAACAGCCGTTTAAGTGTCTGTGAGAGGGGATATCATAGCGCAACTCAATCATGTGCTTAAACCCTGCATTCTCTCCTCCGTGCGCTGCCAAAGGACACACTCTGCTAATGTCTTCTTAAATGGTTCATTAGTCCTGTGTTGCACCGCATCGTTATTTCCACCACTTTCTTCCAGTCACTGTCAAAGGCAAACACTAAACCCACAAAGCTCACACACAGCAGAACAAAACGATGCAGGCGGATCCTCTAACTCCATCTTCTGTACTTCTACGACTAACTGACAGCTGCACCCGACACTTGATCCGTGGCAGCTGAGAAGTTTCACTGTCGTGTTTGATCGATCAATCATTTAACTGTCAGCTCTTAAAACAATTATTTGGTTTGAGTAAGTCTTTTAAGTTGAAATTCTTTGATTCCAGCTTCTCTTTTCTCCTCGATGACAGTAAACTGAATGTTTTCTGACATTTACACTCCAAGCAACGAACTGATTAATCAAGAAAACAGAAAACAATAATCAGCTCTAGCCCTCGTTAGCAGTGCAAGACTTTTGCCTCACCAAGGCCTGTTTCAAAAGAAGAAACCAACAAGTATGTGTCCTGAACTATGACAAATGATTTAAACGGGTCAGATTTTTTACTCCTAACTTTATGCTAAGCTACGCTAACTGACTACTGGCTACAGCCTTATATTCGGTAAAATTTTAGAACTGTTGCCTTAAAATATGAGTGATATAAATTACATATTGAGTGAATAAAAAAGGCTTTTTGTTGCGGGTCTCACCAGCGTATTCTGGGTAGCAGATGGTCAGAGGACTCTTCTTGATTTTCTCCTCAAACAGGTCCTTCTTGTTGAGGAAGAGGATGATGGAGGTGTCCGTGAACCACTTGTTGTTGCAGATGCTGTCAAACAGCTTCATACTCTCGTGCATTCGGTTCTGAGTGGGAGGGGAGAGGGAAAAAAAAAAAAACCTGACGTCGGTCATTGTGCTTTGCTCAGTGATCCATAAACGAGGGGAGATTTTGAGCGGAACCTCTCCTTTACTTCTACTTGTCTGACTCGGGCACACAAAGACAAAAGTTCCTGCTGCGTATTGCGAGTCACGCGGCTGAGCTGCTCACCATCTCCTCATCCTCAGCCAGCACCAGGTCGTAATCGCTCAGGGCCACGCAGAAGATGATGGCGGTCACACCCTCGAAGCAGTGGATCCACTTCTTCCTCTCGGACCGCTGACCGCCCACGTCGAACATTCTGGTTGGGAGACAGGAGTCAACGAGTTCAGGCGTGTTCCTCTGCGTGAACGCGTACAATACGAGCAGTGTTCGCGAAACCTCACGCATAGAATAAATGTCTGGAGGCCGCTTGCTGCTCTATTTTCTCGCAGCGGTGAGAAGAGCAAGTGATAAATGGGGAAAGAAGACAGAAATTCTTTGTTATTACTGTGTAACTGTCGGAACATGTTAGTGGAGTGAAGAACATTGAGGTGTCCAGCAAATGTACACATTATGGTTTTCAGAAAGAGGTTTTTACACAACGATAAATATGATCTGTCTTTGTACAGTTAAGCCGTTGATCTCCGAATGAGAAATTAAGTGTGTTTTCCTGCTATTTCTGACCCTTTTGATGAACAAAAATGTCTATTAGGCTTGAGTAAATGCAACCCTAATTAACAAAGCTAGTTAAGAAATGAATTTCTATTTTTATTCTTAATTCGTATCATTTTGGCGCTGGTGATTTTCCTCTGGGGTTTGCTAAAATCTCTTTGGGCGAGTGCCAAAAATTCCTTCCCTGCAGGAAAAAAAAAAAAATCCCTGTATAAAGAACTGCACACACAACAACTACGTAAGAGCAGAAGAAACGAAGGCATTCAGAAATTAAAGACGAGTTATCGTATCTAACTGCAAAACACAGATTCGAATCAGTTTCCAAAGAGATGCTTTTTTATTTATTTATTTATTTTTGTTGCATATAAATGTAAAAATAAGAAAAAGAAAACCATGTGGTGCAAGGAGAGATGTCAGGAGAACAGACAAAGGCCTCATTTAGCTTCTGTAATAGCTCCTTCTGGTCCACTAAACTGCACAAATCCCATCTGGAAATACTTTTGGGTTTTAATAGCAGGACTGCGGAAGGGATTGTCAAAGAAAATAATTAATATGTAATTGCGGCGTAAACACTTTTACTTGTCTAAGCATGTGAATGACAGGCTCGGCAGGTTAGTCATTCTTTTTACCGTCACAGCGACACGGTTAGCGGTTAAACTGGAGAAATGAGACACCTGCTCGGCCACTGATTCCTACATTATGTGAAGCGGTGTTACACTATTGCGTTTCTTTGGAATTTCTGTCTTCATTTCAGTGACAAAAACTTGTGATATCATGCCATCAGTGGCCTCGCTGCCCCCACTTCCTCTGTGTTTGTTAACGGAGGGCTGCGACTGAGTCATCGCTGATGTGCGCAACACCTTCGCAGACTGTGTCACAACTTACAGCTGTACGTATACAAAGGGAATTTCTACGGCACTGAATGAGTCAGTAACAGGAAGGAAAGCTAATTAAGCCATCGTGTTAAAAAAAAAACCAAACACTTTGAGCCTGAGCCAGTTGTTACAGTGAAGAAATTCTCACTTGAAGTGCAGGTCCTTGAATGTGAAGTGCGTCTCCACAATGCCTGTGGTTTTAACACGGGTCCTCAGGACATCCTGCTGAGTTGGGATGTAGGTGGCCTGGGATATCCTGTCCAAATCGTTCAAGTAGCTGAGAGGAGGACACAAAAGAAGGCGCGCATGAGGAGGGAAAACAAGCGGAGAAAGGTTGGAGGAGAAGAAAAGAATAAAAGAAGACGTAGGAGGGAAGATAATGTAACAAGGTCAAGAGTGTATTCTCCAGTTAAACAAACAACTCCCGGTGCATTGTGGGGGATAAACAAAGTCAGATTCTATATTCAACACTCTATTGTGAAATTAAGGAAAACTTGCTGACTTCTCAACCCCGAAATTAGGTAAAGATGAGCGAGCAGTTCACACACAGCATGTAAAAATTTGCCTTTGTTAAATTTAGACACAGCAGCTCAGCGATTAGAGCTGTTGGTTTACAGGACGGGACCTGGGGTTTTAATCTAAGCCCTGCTCTTTTCAACGGGGAGTGTACATTGTTGTCTCTGTGGTTGGTGGGTTCCCTCCGGGCAGCTCGGGTCCCCTCCCATAGTCCCCCGACAATATGCAGCTGAATTGGAAACTCCCCCCCCCACGTGTGAGTGTGATTGTCTCGGTGTGTCGGGCCTGTAATGTGCTAGCCATCTGTCCAGGGTCCTGTCCCACATTTTTCCAAATGAAATACCTGCTGGGATCGACTGTAGCGCCCTCATGATCACGTATGGAAATAGGCAGCTACAGAAAATAGATTTAACTCATTCTTTGTCAGGATGTTGCTTCTTTCTTCTTTGATTCATTTTAGCAAAATGAGTCCAAAGCAAAAGAAAATGGAGTGAAGTTGCTTGTAAACTTTCCAATTTTTAAAGACTTATCTGGAGGTTGGTTCGTACTTATTATTTGTTCTAAGTGTATGAATCTGTCTACCATGACCACACTCTGCATGTATAATAACTCAAGTTAATACTTCAAGGTTATTGCTGATAAATTACAAGAGAGAGAAATTAATGACCTCTAGTTGTTAGCAGACAAACACAAGCAATCTCCCCTTCACGCAAACAAGCCTTTTGTTTGTCTTCTAAGATATTAAGTGCAGTAAAAAGGGAAAAATACACCAGGTTTAGCGTTTTCTATTCATGAAAAGCCCCTGGACGGCAGGATTAGAGGAACCAATTAGAAAATGGCCAACCGCTGCAGCTCCCCTGGCCTGCAGTGTAACCGCTGGTGTTTGTTCTGTAGCAGCACAACAAGGCAAATGGCTTTTCTCCCCTCACAAAAAAAAAAAGAAAAAAAAAGTCTTGTGATGATATCATTTGTTTCAGTGCCATGGGCTCTTGCACAACATATGCTAGGATCCAGCTGTTAAAGAAAAATACCTCAACAGTTCAGCTATAAAGAGAATTTCTTTGTGTAAAAAAGAAAAAGAAAAAAAACGTTTTAAGCATGTGGCAAATGCTTCTGTGCTTAAGTGTGAGGTCAAAGATGAAACAGTCTTTTTCCAGCCGCCGGGCTCCGAGCTTGGTGCAGGAAGGCAAATATTGACAGTCTAAAAGTCCAGACAGATGCATGGCACTGCAGCTCTCTGCTCCCTGGCTGAAGGTTGCCGCTAGCAGCTCTCTGTGTGTTTGCAGAGCCAGGGCAGTAATTTGGGCTTCTGGTCGTCTCATGTGAAACACTTTGTCATTATGTGTTGTTGACATAAATAGGTGTGTGGAGGGCCGCTGAATCTTTTCTGCCGGGTGACTCAGATTTATTTTTTTTGTTGGCCGAACCTGCAATTATTAACTCGGTTGTTTACGCGTCGGTTTTGCGTGACTCACTATGCCGCCGAGTCGTTGAGCTGATATTCGCGGGAGCGGCTGAAGCAAGCTTGAACACCTCCGTCCTTCCACAGCCGCTTGATGACACCGGCCAGCTCGGCTGTCATGAAGCCTTCCTCTGCTGAGCCCGCCAGTACAAACAACTGCCGCGCGTCATCCTGGGGGAGGAGTCGAGGTGGTGTTAGCATCATAAAACAGTCTCCTATACCATGATAATAATAAATATTAATGTGCTACAAGCTAACATGACAGTCACAGGGTTATAAAGGACAATTTAGGAGTGACTACTGATTAAATACCCAAAATAATGTGACATTTTTCTATTATGTCTTGTGTGCAAAAAGGGATACTTCTTAGTGTAAAAGTCTTAAAAACTAAACGTCCTGGCATCTAAGCTCACTTTTAAACATTGAAATATGCTTGGAATTACTTGCAGATGAACCCAAAACGGCCTCTGACAGCTACAGAATGACGGAGAATTGAATGTCGCTTGTTTTCCAACGCCACAGATTCACTTTGGGTTTCGACCAAATTACATCCTGCCTCTGTCACTCACAGCTCTCGCGGCGTCCCCGAAGTCGATCTTGAGGCGCCCCATGGCTCTGATGATGGCGATGATGGACTGGATGGTGTTGCTGTAGACCACGGCCTTGTACTGCTTACATTCCTCTTCTGAGTAGCCTGCCTCGTGGATGATCCTGCAGGAAGAGGAGGAAACTGGTCAGAATGTGAGTCGTGTCCCTGCTGCCATCAGAGACTAGTCATTCTAACATGACAAATCCTCCCTGCTGAACGATACGCCCTCTTATTTTTTTAAACATTTTTAGAAATGACTTAGTTTTCTCCTCAGCTGACATCCAGCACCACTTATAATACTCCCAACTTACACGCTCATTGTAATGTCAGTACAAACACTGTGCGGCCACAATGGCCCTGATCGCTTTGCTCCTCATTTCTGGCTGCTGGAATTATGATCATCTAGGGAAAAGAAGCTTTTTCTGCGGTTGCACTCAGTCACTCTGGATAAAACCCATCAGCTGAATGCATACAATGTTAAAGTATCATCTCGGGAGCAGTTTATTTTAACATAAAAACTCTGAATAGAGACGTGATTATTGTGTTTAAAAGGCCTGGCATTATTCTATACTTTTGAGAGCGTCAACAAATCTCATGAGAAGCACAAAATCAGTCAGTCTTTCAGTACATTTCCTAACCTGTCGCTGGCTTTCAGAGCTAAGCCAATTTGCTCCTAATGAAGATGCGATTCCTACTAATGTATGGTTTAACTATAGTGCCCATGTCGGTGGTAATGAAGAAACACCGCACCCAGTGGGAAGACGTGCCTCAATGATTGGCTTTTCTTAGGTTATGAGCAAAAATGGTGCAGAGGAGTAACACGACCAACACGGTAAAACTGCAACTAACAGTTATTATCACTATTGATTTATCTGAGCAGTGCTTTTTTTCGATTAATCCATTAAGAGTTTGGTCTGTAAAAATGATGTCAGACAACCCATTTTCAAATTGTTTTGTGTGACAGATGAAACCCCACCAACTTTCAATTTACAGCCACATTAGACAAAGAAATTCAACCAATTTTCACTCCTCAGAAGTGGAAAATAAGACAATGTGCTGCTAGAAAAAGGTTTTAAGCAATTACTGACTCAAAACTTTTCAACTTGGGGCTGCATCATTTACTAAAAACTAACCATGATTTTGGCTTTCTCAGATACTAACAATTACAATGTCCTCCACTCGTAGCAGAAAAATCTCTTGGTTTCATCTTGGGTAGCATTAAAACACCTTATTTCAGTCGATTCAAAGTCATTTTTATCACACACCTGTCTGACTGCAGTAACTGAGTGAGGAGGCTCGAGGCTTCTCTGTTCACAGCCGCCTAGCTAGCATCTACTGTAACCTGCATATGACGCATTTAGGGAACATCGGTAACTTGCAGTGTCCGTCAATGAGCGGACATTTAGCAAGAGAGGAGTTTTGTTGTAATTTTAGGTATAGTTTTCCCCTAGAAGATGCAGGAGCTTATTTCATGTCTTATTCAGATTACATTAGGACAAGTGTAGCACCACACAGAAGTGAAAGCAGCGCTCTATTTCATCATGATTTGGGCCATAATTGTGAAGCCATATTTGAGGTTTGATCAATTTGTTTCAGCTCTACTTGTTGGCAAAATCCATTTGTTTGGGCTTTTAATGGGATTTGTTCACAACAAGAAAACCACAAGATGCCACTTATCTCACTTTACAGCATTAGGAAGGATGTAATGTGCATAGTGTAGCTTTAACCAGCTAATAGCGTTTACATCTGTCAGCCGCATTATGCGATAATAAACAACGTCAACACTTTCCTTCAATCGCACTGATTTCTCTCCGCTCACAATTTAAGTCAGTGCTCATCGCGAGGAAAATGGTTGTCTGCTGATTGATGAATCTATCCATAAGGATGTTTATGAAGAATGTAATTCATATGCAGGCCACATATACAGTTTGTGGATGATATATAGGCACAGTCAATATTAATGCGTTCTGCTGGGTTGTCTTCATGATCCATTATGCATGCTACCTGTTTGTAGTGCAATCCACACAGCGTAACATAACCCATAGAGACGCCGTAATAGCGTGATTGGTGTTTGACACTGTTTGTGTTGTGGAAAATGAATGCTCTTCTAGTGTGTAATCTACTGTGGTGCCATAATGCATATCTGATGTGAGGAGTCGTCGGGAAAAAGAAGGGGAACAAAGTTTGTTTTGATTGTTCGGCGCGCGAGGTGATTTGATGTACGCAGCGGCGGCGGGATGAACTCACTTCATCTGCTTGACAATCGTACTCTTCCCCGATTCGCCAGCACCTGGAAAGGACAGAGCAGAAACAGGGGTTTATTAGAGAGTGGATGCTTCAAGAGGGTGACTGAATCAATGAGGCTCCAGTGATAAATAAAGCAAATCTCAATCTCTCTCAGTAGTTGACTTTGTTTATCAGGATAAAGGGTTCTACATGAGGACCCGATCTGACCAAACAGCATGACGAGGAACCATGAAAGCATAACCTGAGCATAACCACGTCAACCAAAGAAGAACTGAGAAACAGGAGTGTGTTTGTGACGTGAGGCTCATGATGACTCGAGTGTTCCAGCTTTTTTTTTTTTTTTTAACTTCTGGTTCGTCCTAAGCTCCAAGCAGTTCCAGCTTAATGTACTGATTGCTCATTAGCAAGAAGCTCAATGCGATGACTGTTTTGTGATTAAGTTTCCTCTTCCTTAGCAAGACTGAATCAATCATTGCATAAACCTAGTGTGTGCTCGCATTTCTTTCATCAGGACAGGCTTCGCGTCGTGTTGCCTCGGTGTGAAGGCTCTTGGCGAGCAGCTAACGATAAAATAGATTGTTATTGACAGCGCTGTGAATTCCTGATAAACATGGTGTCACTTCAGGATGCTGAGGCACTCGGTCGGCTAATCGGATTGACGGCAGTTTACTTGACTAACAAGACTCTACTGTGATAAAAAAAAAAAAAGAAACAGAATGGGGTTGGAACAGGGAGACCATACGGGGGGGAATCAGACTGATGGCTTTTGCTTTTTAGAAACGTCACAGTGTCATGGCAACGGCTCTCGTTATATCCAGGACATGTTTAGTGTGAGGCCACAGTCACCTGAGGAGGCTTTGTGGCTTTGAGTGTGTGTTGCTTCCACCATGATGTATTATGCATCTTTCTCCTCAACTGGATTTGATGCACTTGGAAGTGGCCCTTTTAGTGAAATTTCTCCTTTACCAATCAAAGCCATCTGGTGATATCCTCCCAAACCACATTCATTAGACCTGTGTGCTCTAATGGGTACTACTAATGTGCAATCAATGTCCTCATGTTGCAGCAGCGGAGAGTTTGGTTATCACAAAGCAATTGGCCGCTCCTCGCTGACGCAACGCTCCTCTGCCACTGGGGGGGAAGTTTTCTTTTTTTTTTTTGAGAGTGCCCATTCCCCGACTGATCACCCGCAGTGTCTCTCTCGGCTCCAGAAACAGAATATGAGGAAGTGGAATCACATCATGAAATCTACCACTATCTGTTACCTCGTGACGCTGTCAGCAGAGGCTACATGGTGTGCTCTTGCGTAACAAATCATCCACCTAATCTAGTTCCACTTTTCTTGTGGCTGCAAAAACAAAAAGAAAATTAAAGACGGCCCGTTTTTGACCCGTGCCGCTCTCCGTCGAGCCTGCTCAGATTCGCCAGAGGATTGTTTATAAAAATCCTTCTGCAGTGCACGCAGCGTTCGTCCGTCCGTCCGTCCTACAAACTTCCCCCCCAAAGTGAAAACTGTGCAGCGCCTATAGTACTGTCCTGGCATTTTCACCTTCAGCATAATTGGATGAGATTCACCTGAGGACACATTATTTTAATTACGTGTCACCACTCAGGTGCCGGTGCGCCCTGGAGGAGGAGGGGTGATGGTACGGTGGCAGCTCCCTGTGCTCTGAGGCCAAACGCTCGGCTGTGCGAATCCCAGTGGGACCTGCACACAGACGGTGCTCGACTGGCGGTGCGAGCTGGCATGGTTGCGTCCCTCGGCCTGCCCAAGAGCCATTTCCACCATGCCACAGACGCTTGGAATGCCGACGCAGTGCCTCTCAGTGTGGAAATCCACTTCAGGCCGGCTAGGAGCTCACACCAAAGTTCCAAAGTGGTATAAAGCAAGTATACATAGGGGAGAGGGTGCTCTAAACAGAGACCTCGCATTTAGAACTGCAAGTAATCAACTAAAAGTAATTCGATTATTACATTTTCAGCCAAATTCAGATCCACACAACACTATTCCAGCATGTTCTGTGTAGGTTAATATTTGTGCACAAGACAGGAAAGAGAAGAGGAGGAAAGATGAGGAGAAAGATAGCAGGAAATCATGATCGAAATGTGCTAACTGGCTACATACCAACAATTTTTCCCGAGAATTGCAGACATCACCTTCTGCCAGTTCCCTGGAAATTTGCTAATAATGCAAAAGGCTAGTTTCTGCTGCCTCCATGCTACAGATGTTGTAGCGGTGTTGCTAATATATTGGTCATGAGTGCCAAATCAGTAAAAGCTACAACCAGAATGGCTAAAGAGAAAAATAACCAGGCTGGGAAGCATTGGAAAATTTTCTGGATTTGCTGTCAAAACTCAGTCAAGAACGTAGACAAATAATTAGGATTAAATTTAGGAATACTTGGATCACAACTACATAGCAGGAACTTAAGTAAGAATTCGTAAAATACTAAAAAGGTTTGTTCAGAATCGCAGGCTCCACCTTTAAATACATCAGCAGCTCTTTATGATTCAAGAGTGGATCTATTTTATCACACAAACTTTAAGAAACAATGCAAATATTAAGGACAATCACTCGACTTTAAGAGGACATGAGATGCGTCATATTTTTCTCCACTTACAAAAATGTGTGCGAATTTTGACGACGTTCAAGTGCTGCTTAAATGAGTGGAAATGATGATGAGATGCCTCACAAAGAACAAATTCTCATCACCTTGTGTAACACAGCCAAAATAAACAGTTATGCGTGATGGCTTGTCATGGGAATCCAACTGCCAGCACCACTCTACAGAAACTGGCACCGAAAATACAACTGCAATAAGCCTGTCTAGCAATTCTGAGCATTCCCATGGTTAAGATTGGGCAAACTTTGTGTCTTCATCATAACCAGTGCGTCGTGAGCCATGTGTTTATGTAAGTGACCTGGATCTGGCCTCTCAACGCCGGTGATATCATTTAGGGTGTGGCTCCTGTCAGAGCCTCGAGGTCTGAGGAACACACTCGCACTGATTTCGCCTCGCAAACACGCGCAGACCTTCAAGGGTTACGCAGAACCACAGGCCTGACCTATCGTTCTCCGTGCAGAGTCGTGTTACACACCCACTGCTTTGATACACCCACCCCAAAACAGCCATAGACTCTGAACCACTGGAGCAGCTGGTTTCTGTTTCTAGTGGTTCAAACTATTTTAGGAAAATTCGAGCTAACCCTTGCGGTGAAAATTGTGTTCTCCCCCTCCTCCCAACCTCTTCACAGAAAACAGAGCCGTTCCTATCTAACAACCGCAAACACATCTTTCCTCCTGGAACTCCCCCCTGGTTGATCTTCCCCTGGGTAAGAAGCCAGGGAGGATGAGGAATGTTTTATAACAAAGGCGTATGGAGACGAATGCGATTAAAATGGCTACCACGCCTGGGCCCTCTCCATTTATAGATTACCCATATGTTGCTGATAAATGTCTTGGAGGATTAGTGATCTGTCTTCACATGCCAGGCTGAATTAAAGTTAGTAAACTTCTCTTCATTCATGCTGGCTTTGGGGTCAGATCAATGGCATTAGGATAAATGTGTGTGGTTTGCGCAGGGCAGGCTGACAGCTCAGCACGTCTACTTTTAGGTGAGCAGTCCAAGGGCTCAAGGAGGGCTTATGAATTTTGGCACAATGTGCTAAACACATTAGTAATGCCACATTAGCAGCATGAGCCCAATGCCATCAACCCTCGCTCTCTCTCTGAGTTTTCCACTCGTATTCAGCTGCACATATCCTTCTTCCTCTTTTACATTCTCTCAGTCTCCTATAGTCATTTCATGATTTATTGTTCCTCTCACTCACTATCCAATTCCTCTTTTTTTTTGCGCTCCCTCTCCCTCTGGGAGGATTTAAGTATGAGTCACTCATAAAGGATTCCAGGAGCCTCCGAGTGGTGCTGCCCACCGGGGGAAATGACCACGCTAAATCACACAGATCGATCTTGCAAAAAGCAAATCGACAGCTAAAAGATTGTTTGCCACACACACTGGCACAGACCGACCTATTCACGCCGCTGTCTAATGACACTTACAGTGATGCCAACATTTTAACTACTTTGTCAGATACGTTTACGGTGACAGGCGCTCTATTTCCAAGATGAGTGCCACTACATGTTGGGTAGCCGGATAATTTGGAACAAAACAGAAAACATTAAACAGAGAACAATGACAAATGTCAGGCAAAGCTGAAGGATTATTAATAAAATCTTCCCACAGTTGCATGACAGCTATAGAAAGAGTAATTAGGCTGAGGAGATTATAATCTATTTTAGCATGTAGATATGAATAGTAGGATAATTGGGTCCTGGAGATGACGGAAATAAAATGAGAGCCAAATAAAGACTATGAGCTTAATGAGAAATATGTTCAGTTTTCAGAGAAAAGATCACATTTCCTCTCTCTGTGAGACACCTGAGTCTGGAGCTGGTTTGGGACTTGACAGCGTGCGCACAGCGACACAGATTCAAATGACTTTTTCTTGCAAATCAAGTTTTTTTCTGCGTCAGAGCGGTGACTTTACGGCAGTGACAGGGAAAACGTGTAAGCCTCGGATTAACATTTACAACAGCGCTTGAGAACCAGGTCACCACAGCAAACGGCAAGGTGTCAGGGCTGCAGCTCACAATTAGCTTCATTGTCGATTAATGTCAATTAGTTGGTTGTTGCATAAACTGTCACAAAAAAATGTCAATCAGTGATTAGCAAAGCCCAAGGAGCCCATGCTTGAATGCTTTTTGTCCCCAACACAAAGATGTTCAGCTTACTGTCATAGCAGAGTAAAAAAAAACAGAAAAAAATCTATTTTAAGAAGCAAGAATCAGAGAATTAATTAATCGATTATTAAAATTGTGGGAAATAAACTGAACAGTCACCAGCTCATCTATCACTGGTCGCAGGTCTAACAGATACACCTGAACATCTACACATTTGTTTGTGGTCACCACCACCAGGTGTTCTTTCAGTGTGTACAACACATCTCTACAGCCATTTACCATCAAGCCACATGCTTTGTTGACGGTGTGTTTAGAGAAAAGTGTATTCCTCAACTGCTTGTGAATCAACAACCTCGAAAAGGCATCTTTTCACTGGCTGTTTATCTGCAAGGTAAACAACTCCAGCGCCTAACTCAGGCCCCCTGCTTCACCGCAGCCAAGCTTTTTCATTTTTAATGCTCTAGTCATTAGCAGTGTTCTCATCTTACAGGCCCTCTTTTCCTTTCTCCTGGCATCCCAGCCTCTCTGTGTGTCACTTCAGGCAGTAACCTGAAGAGGCTAAGCGGGTTACCTGGCTACCACGGCGAATGGATCAAACACAAATGAAGGGAAACAGTACCGGAGCAGTCACGAGCGGCACCACACGACCTGGCACCCGACTACCCCGGCAGAAGTAGCCGTTCGATCAGAAAAAACGAGATGAGTAAAACTAATGCCACATGGTTTGCGTCAGACCAACGGCAGATGAAAAAGTCAAATTCCACCCTACAGCAGCATAGCAGAAACTTGACCTAACTTGCTCACTCTCAATCAGCAAGTCCCATCTGGTCTCCAAGCACCCAAGGAATGCAGTCTACCTTCAACTAGAAAGTATGTACATGCTTGTGCAAACAGATCAATACAAACATATCACCCAAATGCAATTTTTATCCCGAGAAAAAGACGAGATTTGAAGATTTCATGTGTGATTCGATGAAAGCTGAAAAGAAAAGGGAGAAAATGTGTCGCCGAGTTGAACAAATAACACAAAGAAAGCTTGTTTATCTTGCCGTGGCTTATAATTATGTCCACAAAAGCTTCTAACAGCTCTTATTATGTGCCGTCTGTCAGGTGTTTGCCTGCTACTGGTGCTGGCTTTCAGACTTTGTGTCCTGGTAACCCACATACCATGTGTGTGCATGTCAACAGTTCCCAACGCTAGCCACCTAAGGGGTTGATGGAAAAGTTTTTCACCTACGGTCTTTATTTACAAGGATAACAGTGTTTCTCCGCATGTAAGCAACGCCATCAATTCACACATGACTGGCTTTTAAATGCAAGTAATTCACGTAATTGGGCGTACGGGGATGCCGGAGGGAGCTGGGAGATAACAAAACACGTGTAATGAGGAATTATAATAATAAAGGAGTTCAGTGGGTGTGCTGTGCCGTTTAAATTACATCCGATTTCAAAGGAATATATATCAATTTAACCTGAATAACAGCTTCTTAAGCTCTAACCAAACACCAGGATCCATTTGGGAGCACAAAGGTCGCCCACTGTAACGACTACCTCCACATCAGCATGTCATCCAGCTATTCAATCAGTGGTTGGAAATGGCTACTGTTTTCTTCTGACACTACTTTATTTTTCTGCTGTAATTTCCTGCATTTGTTGCGCAAGTTGCTTGTCTTTTACAGGCCACATTTTGTCGGGTGTTTCGCTGCTGAACTTGAGATGGGAACGAAACAGGGGAGACTTTAAATGAACGCACAGGATACCTGGAGATAGTATTACAGATACTATAGGACTACTACAACTTTGTATGGGGAGGGGGGGAATAAAAGAAACAGGGAAGCATGGTGGACAGTTTTCAGTCACACTGGGCCCCTAATGAGCCATAAGGCCTATTTTCACTGCACTGCACTGGACTGGAGAGGAAATGTGCCATTGTTGGAAGGATTTAGTCAATACAAATGGTCTATAGAGGCTGCTCAATGGACGCCAACAGAATGGAAAAAAACAAAAGAGAGAGAAAACTTAACTTGAACAAATGTGACTATTTTCAAACACATGTGGCTCATTCGGTGTTGTTTTAAAAAAAAATGTTGCATTCAGGGACCAGAGTTGACTGAAGCTAGCTAGGAGGGGAGGGGGGACTAGCTAACGATGCGGACTTGAAACTCAGCAACACTTCACAACCGCCGAGCATTAACCGGATAATTAACCAACTCCAATGGCTTTTTGTTTTTTCTTTTTTTCTGGGTGTGTTCCCCCCTCCTTGTGGCCGAACACAGCAGCGAAGTTCGACTGACTAACCGAGCGACTCCCTCCCTTCATCCTTCTTACCGAGCAGCAGCAGCTTGACCTCCCTGGCCGCCTTCTCCCCGTCGTCCCGCAGATTCCTGTCGATCATCTTACTGCGCTCCACCGCCGCCTTGTCCTCGGTGCTCAGCGTGCATCCCATCCTTAAGACTAGTGTCCTTCAGACCCAGATGGTGTTTTTAAAAAAAAATACCCTAAAACACCATATATACCTACATTAATTGGTTAAAACTGCCTTCACCCCGCACACACACGCCCTTTTTTTTTCTTCTTTTAAATGACAGGCAAACGAGATGTTCAAGGGAAAGAGGGGGGGAGAGAAAAAAAAGGGAACCGACTTTTTCTCAAAAAACTCTCGCGTTTCTTTAACCGCCTGACACGACTTCGGGTTTAAAATCCTTGTTGCATCTGAGATGGGAAATTTACAAAATTTTACAAAAAAAAAAAAAAAAGAGAGAGAAGCTATTCGGACAGCGGAACAATTCCTCGGTGATGTCTCTCCCACCACTTCGCCTCCATTCGTTGCAGCGGCGACTGTTAGAACTGTAGGTGCAGCTCAGACTGACGGAGGAGCTGCTGGAACAGCCCGGCAGCGGCCACCGCCACGCTTCCGGTCCGGCCCTTCACAATAATACTTCACTCGTCTGGTAGTACAGAGACTTTGGCTCTCCGCGGAGCAATTGTTGCGATCTTGACAAACTGGGGGCTCGGCGGACTTTAGATTTAACATGATTATAGCGCCATTATTAGGATATATCAACTGAAAAAAGTAAAATGAGATGTTGTGCTGTGTGCAAAGTAAGATCATCCCACTTCCGGTCTGTGCTTTTTCATGTTCCACAGGGCTGTCCAGATGAGCTGACACGTTTTGTCAGTATTTTTAATCACTGCATCACTTTAAATAATAATAATACTAAAAAAATAATTTAAACTAATATTATTAGTTTTAATCATTGCTGTATTTATTTATTTATTTTAAATTAAAGGATATCTCAATCGATTTTTATTCTTAGCGTTTAATATTTAGTATGCAAGTGTATTGTTTTCCTAAATAATGCACTCTTTGAGCATTATAAATCGGCTGTAGTACCTGGTTGTGCCACCAGGTGGAGTCTCTTATTGTTAAAAAAATATATAATAAAATATAATCATGAGCCAAAATGCCAAATAGGGTTAGTGTTATGCATTAAGTTTAAATATTGAGGAGGCTAAGACCCAACAGTGTGATTTATTCTGAGAATTAACCTGAGTGATTTAAATATTTGGGATTAAAACCCTACAACAAATATATAAAATACATATATATAACTTTAACTGACTGTAAAAAATATTAAGGCTAAGACCTTAGCATTATTAATTACATCACGTTCTATGTGTACTCTAAACGTAGACGTAACATGAAATAAATTGAGTGCTGCAGATATCCTGCTGGAGTTCTTTGAATGTAAAAGTTTCTCAAATACCACACTTAACTAGACGGACAAATATTTTAACTTTTGTAAACAGATCAGTTTTTTTTATGAACAGTAAAACAATTTCGCAACATATTTGGCCAACTCTAGCATAATATTTTTGAGGGTTTTAACACATGATCATAATATCAGCTGATAGACCCAGGGCTATTTTTGTTATTGCTTTTATTGTCAGAAAACAAACAATATTATATCTATGACTATCTATGACTATTCATAAAACATTTGGGACTATAGTCTTAAATGCCATGGTCAAATAAACAGGTTCTTAGTGATTTTTAGTAGACTTTTCACATGTTACTGTATTTTACACTTTTAGGATCCCTACACTACATATTTTCTTGTGTTTTTCAGTAGACATCATGTGTAGAGCACCTTTAATGACTTTTTGGAAGGTGCTATTCATTCAAACTTTTCCATAATATTCTGCACCGTGCAGAACAGCCATTACTTCTGTAAAACAAAACTAATTTTAGACTTCACTTTACGCTGCACAGAACATCTTTGCCCATGAATGAATAAACCTCTACTCTACTGCTGCAGAGCTGCACTTAAGCAACACACTAATGTTTCTAGTGTAGTGGTTAGAAAAAAAAAATCACAGCTCATCATAGAACAAGAGAGAAAGAACCATGCCCTGAGGTGAGCCAAAGTTGATCCTAAATAGTGTATTTAAATAATTTGATTTTGAGGAGGGACTATCTTGCATATAATCTTCCCTTCATCCTTGTCATCTACCTACTGCCCAGTATCTACATTTTCTGTCCAGTTAACAATTGAAAATGGAGGAACTTAAATACATTTTTGTTATGCTTAATGGCTAATTTTCACTGCATTATGTGTATAGTTGTATGTTTTAATTTCTCATATAGGTAAGTCTATTATTCAAACACTTTTATTCTGAAGGAAACGTCTAAGCAGCAGGACTCTGTTCAAACCTGCACATTCACAGCTTTACACACTGCTACAAGATAAAAACTCATAATTTTTACATTATAAGCTGCATCATGTGACTGTTATTTTGCTCCACAATAAACATTTATTAGCTGTGTGATTGTCAATAATACACCAGTAAAGTTTAAATAAAACTCTCATGGAGACATGTGACATATCACAGTGTTTTGAACATGCATAGTTAATGCCTCTCTGATCATATTACATCTACATTACACTACATCTGTTCGGACTAAATTGTAACTGAGTAGCCTACATTTCCAGCATGTATTGTTCCCATGGGAACCACACCTGTAACCAGCCCCATCCCCTACCCAGCCAGCTGTACACAGCCATTGTTTGTGGTTTAAATAATTCAGCCTGCCAGACAAAGTCAAGTGTGACGCTTCAAAGTCAACACTCCGGCTTAAGGATGGTGGTGTTAACTTCAAAACTCGCCACACAAATCCACTGTGGTGTAAACATCACCTCCCCCCCCGACTCTCTCTGTGCGCGCATTTTCATTTTAAACGTGACTTTTTGGGAATACATGCAAATATGCAACGTTGACCTTTCCGTTCTAATCCTACACTGGCTGCAGGTTTCACCCCCTCTTTGTCATCCAGACCTTCTCCAGGTTCGAGATAACAAGAAACACAGAGTGTATCCCCACGGCAAAGAAGGTTGTGTCATTTTATCTAAAATACCACAGACACAGAATGCATTCATATTCTTTGGAGAAAAAAACCCCAAAAAAGACAATACTCCTCATTATAAAAGATTCATGCTTATGTAGAAACTCTGCTGCTTCCAATATGAGTTATAAAATCCTTGGTAGGGTTCTGCTTCTGGCTGTAAAGTATTTTGTATGTGGATAAAAAGAAAACTTTTATGTTTTTTTGCACATGATTGGTACTTTTTATTTCTTTCTTTCAGCACACAAATAAATCAGCCATGAAAAACAACGTTGCTTCTGTGTTCATGGTGATCAGCCCAGATTAAATTAAAAAGCTAATTTTGACTGTAACTCCTGCAGGGATACAAGAATTGGGATCTCTTTTACTTGATGAAAGAAGGTGATAAAAAACAAAGTTTGCTAGTTTTGACCTGAAAGGTTCACGGATATACAAGGATGCATTCATGCAGTTAGAGAATATATTCAGTTTTGCTTGCTGCTTTGTTATACTCCCCACAAGAGGGCATTGTCAGACTCCAAAATGTGGCAAAAAACCTGCATGATATGTCAACACAAGCCCTCAGGAAGGTGAAGGAAATGCAGGCCAACTAACTGCACTTTCCTCTGATAAAGGCCTGCTCACATGATCTGTCTTCACTGAGTTTCAGATACTATGATCGTAACATTTTGTGAGGAGAAATGCTTTTACATTGCTATCAGAGATAAGTTTTATTTATTGCAATTGCCAAAGACGGTAACCCACGTAAACTGAAGTCCTGAAATTGCACTTGCAAGACAAACAGTGAAGTCAGTCAGGTGAGATTTACACCGTACGGTGAGAGTGTTCGATCAAACACAGAGTCGCCTCTTTCTGAACTATTGTGAGAGAGCAGGGCCTCTGTCCTGCAGTGGGCGATGAGGGAATGGGGGTGCTGCCCTCCAGTGGTAATAATACAAAACGCCACAGAGCTGGAAGTAATATTTACTCAGCCCCCAAGTCTGTATATTTAACATGCTTCAGCCTTCCAGTGTAGCAATATGCAGCTCTGTATGGATTCAGAGGGTTTGCATTTTAATTTTAAATGGGCCGGTTTAACACACAAGAATCAAACTGTGCAATGCCTTTTGAAAGCTTTATGAAATTAGAGACACAAACATTATGTTTTGCAAGATTCATGTGTTAAAATCGGGCTGCAAGGTGGCACAGTTGGTAGCACCGTTGCCTTGCAGCGAGAAGGTCGCCGGTGGGGGCACCGGGATCTTTCTGCGTGGAGTTTGCATGTTCTCCCCGTGCAGCGTGGGTTCTCTCCGGATTCTCCGGCTTCCTCCCACAAATCCAAAAATTGGTGATTCTAAATTGCCCGTAGGTGTGAATGTGAGTGTGTCTGTCTCTAAGTGTGGCCCTGTGATAGACTGGTGACCTGTCCAGGGTGTCCCCTGCCTTCACCCTGAGTCAGCTGGGATAGACTCCAGCTCCCCATGACCCTCGTGAGGATTAAGTTGTGTTTAGATAATGGATGGATGTGTTAGAATCTGCACATTTCCCAAAGGCACTATTCACTTGCTCTATGAGGAGTGCAAACATCTACTATATCAGAATATATCTACTCTATTATTTGACCATTCTTTCCCTCCGTCCTCTCCTCTGGTATTAATGGAGTGCTGGAGTATTCAGCTTTCCAGTATGCCTCTGTCATAGCCACAATCTGTCACCGCCACAATCTGTCGTGTGGTGTGGCGTGCCAGGCTATACGATGTTTGTCTGACTTATTGAGCTGAAAGAAAAACAACAAAAAAAAAACCCCACAGCGTGCGATTAAACAAACCCAAAACCAATTAAAAGCGATCCGCAAACACGTGAGCTGATACGTTCATTATCGGTGTTATATTGTTGCTGATCCAAAAAAAACCCCATGTGCAAGGAGATCCTTTATCGAAATAACAAAGCACGATAAGCGCATGGAAATATCTTTAGGAGATAACGAGCAATTCGTTTTAATATCCCCCCCTTATGAGAGTGCACCACTAAAAACAGATAAGACTGTAACTGTGTCTGCACAGTGGGAATATGCTCAATCATTTATGCGCTGCTCTTTATTTTCCCTGTTGCTAAGTTTGTGTGTTATTCACCAAGGCAGAGTGGAATAAAATAATGCCTAGAATTTTTCTCAGTAACCAGGTCATCTCTAGAACTGATATCATACAGTGTGATAAATCTTCACAAGTGAGGATTTATTGCAATTGATTCTGGCATCCCAATATATATATAAAAAAGGAAAAGAAACAAAAGCAAAATGCATTATTGAAACACTTCAAAGTCTCTGCGCTGTGCAAGACTTTCAACCTTTCTCCTGCTCTTATCACCAAGTCGGAGATGGCTGAGTGATACCTAAAGGGACACCTCTCAGCTGAACCTTAAACCCCCCTTCTGCAGTTATATAACCTAGTTATAGGAGGTCCCTGGGTACCTGCCATGGGTGTGTGTGCCTTTACCTGGCCTCCTCCTGCTCCTCTGATGGTACAGCCTGCCTCTGCTGCTTCTGCTGCTGCTCGGACACAAACACAGACGAGCTGCACATACTAGCACACAACCACAAACACGGAGACAGAAGGAGGAACAGGCAGCCGGGCGGGCGGATAGGCAGACAGCAAGACAGACGTACAGAGTGGAAAGGAGGGAAACGCACACCAGCACCATGGGCTGCTGTAACAGAAGGCGCGCGCTGATAGCCGGAGCTGTGTTTGGGGCGGTGGTAGCCATCCTGGGAGGCATCCTGATCCCAGTGGGGGACATCATCATTGAGGGGACAGTGGAAAAGGTATGGTGGCTCAGTTTCACCCTTGGAGTTGGAGGATAAGGGAATGACAGAGCGGACGAATGTGTGTGTGTGTGTGTGAGAGCATATGCGGAGATCAAGGTGAATCAGGAGAAACGAGAGGGAAGAGGCGTATGTTTTGGAAAGCTGCTTCAAATGATAAATCAAGAAGCCAACTGTGTCTTGTTGTCATCCATGAAAAAAAGATCTGTGTGTGTTTTTTAGACACAAATTCTAACGATTCAGACTTTATTTTTACCTAATAAGAGAGCATTCACCTTTTTTTTTCATGTATCAGTGGAGCTGTTGGCCTGCTGGCAGTCTTGAGGTATGTTAAAAATAGACCATCTGTGTGTCTGCGGGGTTTAGGAAGCCGTCATAGAGCCCGGAACGACAGCTTATGACAACTGGATGTCTAGTGGATCAGCGGTGTACAGGCAGTTCTGGCTGTTTGACTTAAAAAACCCAGTGGAGGTTTTGGAGTACGGTTCACCTCCAGTGGTCATGGAAAAAGGACCTTATACGTATAAGTAGGGCTCATTTATTTCCCCTTCTTTGATTTGAAACTCTGTCATATCACACAACATACAAGCGTCTACTCTCTAGTAAGACCCTCTCCCTCCTTCAGGACAAGATATCTTCCCAAAGAGAACGTCACATTCAACCCTAATCACACTGCCTCCTTCCTGCTGCCTGTGGGTGCCATCTTCGAGCCGACCATGTCAGTGGGATCAGAAGAAGACATGGTCACCTCCCTCAACCTGGCAGTTGCTGTAAGTGTCCGTGCCAACGTGTGTTGATTCCTGACTTGACTCCGCTCCACTATTAACGTTTACTGCATCTCTGTTCTAAAGCCGACGCAAGCCATGCCAAAGCAAGCTGTGCCGGCTTGTGGCGGGTTGCTTTGCTCTGATTTTTAGTGGTGATTCCCAACCTTGTTGACTTGTGACCCTCTGTGATGTTGTGTTTGTGAAGACTGACCTTGTCTGGCTGTTGATTTGAATTCTTTTATGGGACTGAAAACTACACTGAAGCAATGAGTTGAGAGGAACAAAAAAATCATAAAATATGCAGGATTTTGCAGAATTCTGGTGCATGTTTCTTGTTCTTGCTCTGTCAGTTTACACCTTATTTATTTTGTGACTCCACTGAGGCTCCAGCGCAGAGTGGTTTTCGAAGGAGGACTTGAAATAGAAAGCAAATGTGGGGATGACAAGTTAAGTATTGTGGGTTTTGTATCGAAACAAATTATTGATTTCATACACTCTTCAGATGAATAGGAAGCTTAGTTAACCAAAACAGCATCATGAATTTGCTGTGCAGTTAGTTGCAAATGCAATTTTGATGTTTGCCCATTCTGAACATCGACGTAACTAGGTTGGGTAGCAATGAAGTTTCTGTGCAGGTGGCATGCATTTAGCGACAAACGCTAACATAGCGTGCTAATCCCTGTGTTTACTTTGATGAACTAAACGCCTTTTTTATGAATACTCAGCCATTGTTAGCTGGCGAGCTGCCCTGGAAGTAGTTTGGCAGAGTCAGACCTACTGTCACATCACAGTGTCAGTGCTGGAGAATGGTCTGATTGCCCCTTTATATCATTCTGGGAAAATGCTCTGGATTGTTTGTATTTCCTTAAACCACTCACAATCGTATTGGGCAGAACTAAGCTTGAGATGCAGTAACTGTCCCTGCAAAACAGGGCTGAGGAATTGTTTTGATGGAACATTTGCATGCAGTGAGGCGAGTATTCTCGTTATACTGTCGTTAATTCATCAAAAGAACCACAAATCTGGTCATTTTTAGGGTGCGGGTTGGAGGTTGTTGTTGCTCGTAGGGAAGGAGATTATGAAAACGGTAACGTGCAAAGCCTGAGGTGAGGAGAAAACTGGATGAAATGTGTGCAGGGAATGGCAGGGTTATACCCAAAGTCTACGTCTGGTAAGTCAGACTACTCCTTGGTTAAAAATGCAGTTGTGCGTTGGTCAAACTCAAAGATAAGGATTTGATTTACAGCTAAAAACTGTTTTTAGCCTCGGGTAATCAGGCCATTCTCCACTGCTGTGTGTGTCAGTGCTGCAGAATGCTCTAATTCTACCTCATTATCATTCTGCCAGGGGAAGTAAGGTAAAAAAAAAAAAAAAATGCTGTATTTTCACAATCACCACGAAGCCCAGGATGTCCCTGCAAAAATAATGCTGGGAAAGAAGTTGTTTTGATGGAACAGTAGCACATTGGGAGTCAAGCACTGTCATTTAAATGGCTAATTCACTAAAAGCATTAAGCAGCATTAATGCCCAATCCAAGCCTTTGTTAGAACATGTCATTTTCTGTGTGCAGGTTGGTCGCTCAAAGGTTGTCGATAGTGTCTCCTATAGTAAAGAGAACAGCAAAGAGTAACACATACAGATGAGGGGGTGGAGAGTGCCATGTGAAATCACAATTGGCAGGTTTATACCAACAGTCTACGTCTGGTGAGCCAGAACAAAAGGCTTCAGGGGGTTGGAATCGAACATTTCAAGTGACCAAACTTCAACACAGATCTACGGTCATTAAATGTCCATTAGGGGCTCCTCCCGCGATTACCGACTTGACAGTCGACCTAATTGCTCCGGTCCTGCTGTGCTGGAAATTAAGAAGCACTGGGAGGCCATCATTTGCAAGTGACACTCACACTTTCTTCTTGGTGGACAGTCTAAATGTTTGCTCAGCAAACTTTGATAAGGCTGAAATAATGAGTGTAAGCAAAAGCTCTGCTTGTAAGTAACTATGGAATAACACAATCATAAAAGGGGATTACCTCCTGGCTTATCTCCTGACACAACAGCTGCAGTTGTGTACACAGCAACTTTGCTTCTTTTCCTTCCTTTTGTGTCTGATACTTTTATCGTGGAATGTATTTTCCAAATGTAAAGGTGAATATTTTGGTTTCTTTTTCAGGGAGCGTATTCACTGGTTCCAAAACCGTTTCACAGTGTTCTAGAGATACTGATAAAGTCGACCAACTCGTCCCTGTTCCAGCATCGTTCAGTCAAAGAAATGCTGTGGGGCTACCCAGATCCCATACTCAAAGAAACTCTGGGCCTATTTTCACCTGTAAGTAACTTTTTACAGTTAAAAAACATAGAAAATACAAGATTTTAAAATGCCAGGATTTAATTAATTTCTTCAATGAAATATGTTTTCCCTAGTACAATGGTACTTATGACGGCACCTTCAATGTCTTCACTGGAAAGGACGACATCTCGAAAGTGGGAATAATTGACAGGTGGAAGGGAGAAAAGTGAGTCCAATTATGAATAAAGTAAAAGAAACATTAAGTTTAGATTCAAAACCTGTATCTTACAGGAGTTGACGGGTGAGATTCACACTCAAATATTTTTGGCTGTTGAATCAAATTGTGAAATGTTAAACTCTGACCCACAGGAAGTTGTCCTTTTGGAACGACACGTATTGTGACATGCTCAACGGAACAGGTATGACTTTTCATCCTGAACTCCATTTACAGGACATTCTCATAATAATGCATACAAAGTCACCTTTGTAACCTGATTTGATCTCTTCTTTTTTCCTCAGATGCTTCCTTCTTCCCACCCTTTCTAGACAAGAAGAAGCCTATCTATTTCTTCTCTTCAGATATCTGCAGGTGAGACAGGGTTCACTTTGCACGGGCAGTTTTCTCTAATCTAGTCAGACTGTGATCCGGTACATATTTATTAGGGCATGGCTACCTTTGAACTTGATCTTTTCAGTTGTTATTAGATGTCAGAGCGGTCCACGATAAGTGTTGTCTGAATTGAGTTGCGCAATAAAGGCAAAGATTGCTGTGTATATGAAAGTCTAAGTGGAACTAACCCATGTAATGTTTGGTCTCCAGGTCTGTGTCGGCCAGCTATGAGGAAACTGTGAATCTGAAAGGGATCGATGTATACCGCTACTCCCTTCTCCCATCCACCCTGGCGTCCCCCGTGGACAACCCAGACAACCATTGTTTCTGCAGAAGCCAAGAGGTCACCAAGAATTGCACCGTGGCAGGAGTACTGGACCTCGGCTCCTGTCAAGATGGTCAGCAAAAGAATTTGTTTCATCCAGATGTGACTGGAAGTTCACTGTTTTATCATTCTGCTCGGCAGCTGGGCACGTTGAATTGAAATTCTGTGTTTGCCATGTGAACAGGAAGACCTATCTACATCTCTCTGCCTCACTTCCTTCATGGCAGTAAATCCCTGCTGACGGCCGTGAAGGGCCTCAACCCCAATGAAGAGGAGCATAAAACCTTCTTGGATGTCGAACCTGTACGAACCAATGAATTACTGACGTTTTTAAATTTACAGGAGCAGCAGTATCTAGCAAATGTTCACCTTTTTTTGTTGTATTTTTCCACCAGACCACTGGGTTTACCCTGAATTTTGCCAAGAGAATTCAAGTGAATATGATGTACGGGCCATCAAACGTCATCACGTAAGTTGTGGTTCACCTCTTTGTATAGCCTGTTACGCTAGCTTCTACTTACACATGAACAGTATTTATCTTTCCGTCTAGTTCTTGACAGGAAAGTGAGTAAGCACAAATGTCAAAGTGTCAAACTAGTCAAAGACGGAAAGTATGAGGCGGAATCATGCACTGAATGTCAAGTAATGAACTCTTTCCCTGCAGGGTGCTTAAGAAAGTCAAAGATTATACCATATTCCCTCTCGTTTGGATGAATGAGGTAAGTCAAAAAGATGAAGCCCTGCAGTCATGAAGTGTATCATCTGTTAGCTCGGCATGCATGTAAATCAGCCGCTCTTTCATTCTGTGTCTCCTCTGTGCATCCAGACGGCAATGCTGGATGACGCAACGGCAGAAATGTTTAAGAAGGAACTCATCTCCCGTATCGAGATGTTGGAGATAATACAGGAAGTGCTGTTGGGTGCAGGTGTGGCCATCTTCGTCGTGTGCCTCATCTCCTACTTCGTGGTGAGGAGCAGGAATAATAACCAAAGCAAGCTTGCGTGAACCGGTCATGCAATCGACTGTTTATTGTATGTAAGAGCACAGTGCATTCAAGCTGCTACGGGACGTCAGACCTTTTGATATAGACTTGCACTTTTTGTAATTTCAGTGTTATTTATAATGTCATACCTCCTTTGATACCAAGGGAGGAATACTGTGATTTTGTAAAGCTCGAGAGCTGAATTCCTTTGCCAAGTACTATTATTTAATTGCAAACACTGTAACATTAAATCAATCAGGGATTTCTAGAGGGAGAGCAGGTGAAAACTCCTCTTAACTGTCATGTAATCCATTAGATCTCTGAGAAGAGAGAAATGGGTTCGTTCGACATCCTATGAAAGAAATGTACATGAAACTGTTATTGCGCGAATGTTCATATCCTCTGCTGAACTAGTGTGTTCTACATGAATAAAATCTGAAAACGTGAGTTTTTCATTGGGTGTCCTATTCCTAGTATCGGATTGTTCGAACCCAGCACAACGATATCTAACTGGTTTTAAACCCTCCTCAGCTGAAAATACAGGTCAGACTGTCCCGCTGCTGTTACAAATCTCTGCATTGTACGCACTTTCCTCCTTATCTTGAGAGGCCCATAAATCACAACGTGTAATAAAGTAGAGCCGGGGGATGATAATGCTGTGTTATGAATGGTACTGGAGTTTGTTTGGTGAGAAAGCAGTATTTCTGCTCAGCAGGAGACCACTCCTCGGTTTTATGGGGTTTAAATGACCCTCAGCAGCCTCCTAAGGGTGTCTTTGATTCTACTGTTGGACCTGAATCTTACATGTCACACATGTAAGAGAGTGTTTTACTGAAATTTAAACAGACTTGGTGCTCTGTGTGGGGATATTTGATTTGCGACCTAAGGGTACGCCACATATCTGGGTCTTGACATTTGAAATTTAGGGTACACATTTTTGCTTAAAAACTTGAACCCTGTGAGGCTTCCACATATTGTTAAACCCACTCAAAATACGCCTTTTTGCTTTCTTGACAAGTATTAGATGAGAAGATTGATGCCACTTACTCGCCTGTACTATGAATTTGACGCTACATCAAACAGCTTGGGAGCTAAATTTAGCAAAAAGACTGGAAACAGGGAAGCAGCTGGTCTGGTTCTGTGAAAAGGACAGAAACTCAGGCACAAAACCCTCAATAAAGCCACTCTAGTGTTTTTACACTTCAGCTTTTGTGCACAGAAATAACACTCAGTCTGTTCATTGGGCAGACTTTACTACCCTCTGACAGAGCCACGCTACACCGGATATAAAAATGGGCAAACCCTCTATGACGTTTCATAAGAGGGGGTTTTGAAGCTCAGTGTGGTGGCTCAGGATGTGTCCATCTGCACCTCGTTCTGACTAACTTCTGGCTAATCCAAAAATGAGCAAAGAGGCGGGGGATGACGAGAGCCATTCAAATATCTCTGGGCCATTAACTCTCAGATGTCACTGTCACTTAAAGCAGTCATACCCTGAATTATGCAGAACTTTAAGCCTTAATAAAATTGACACAGGTAAGTGAATAAACATTCACATTCCATGCATGAACAGAGAAATTATCTATATAGACATACACTGTCTTGGACTAGGTGGAAACACATTTCTTCTTGTTGTAAAGTTGGGCACTTTAACATGGGGGTCTATGAAGATTAACACACTATAAAACCAGCCTCAAGTGGCCATCTGAGGAACTGCAACTTGGGGTCTGAGCTCAGGGTTCAAAGCCACCATGTATTTATCTTTACTACCACATCATAATGTCTCAGTTGTTTCAAGCACTAAATCTACAACATACCGAAAGCTTCTAAACAAGAATATTTTACAGAAAGTATTTATCGTACTCATGGTGCAATGCACTTCATCTCATTCATTAGCAAAATAAATAACAATACAACTGTTTTACATTTGCAAGCACATAGTTTATTGGCCTCTATTTTAAATTGCTAAATTGAGTTGAAATAATGATTAATGGATGATTGGACGTTCAAAAATGTGCCCACACAGAATGATGTGTTATGGACTGTAAGCCAGCTCGGAGGAGGAGAAGCAGGAAGAAGGCAGGTTGCCCACTTTGACCATCTTGCATTGGGGACCAGTATTGACGTGTTACGACTCTGTAAGTGTTGCTAAATGGCCAATGATTGATTGTGTTAACCAAAGGGAAGCAGTTGAGGGACACTGCTAGGATTATTAAGGTTAAGGTTAGTATGAATTGGGTCAGACAGCAGAGCTAATCCCACCTAGCACCAATGTAGTTAAATGCTAAACGGTCTACGGAGGACTCTAGATTTGCATCACCAGCTGTTCCTACTCATATTCTTGCATCACAAAATAGCGATCCTGTCAGCCTGCGAGCTTGACAGCGGCGGGGACACATTTTTCACATTTGAATCCGTCCAATTATCATCAACAGACAGCGGCGTGGCAAAGATGACTGCATTTTTTTGATTGTGTTAAAAAAGAGCCTTCAAAATGGGACAGCCTCGTCGCGCCACTATGATGCATTCGGTCTTCAAATGCAGCCTTCAAAGGATGCGGCCTGTGATTTGAGACACAGTTAATGTGGTATTAATCTTCTCATCAAAGTCTTGGCATGAAAGGGAAAAGCAACATTTCCTAAAATGTCAAACAGTCCCTTTAAAGCAACGGAATAAGCCTGTTATCGTATACTAAGTAGACAGATGGATGATGTATTGGCCAACAACACAACGGAGTCCACATGTTGACACTTCTTACTCATAAAACTTTCGCCTCGAAACAAACTCTATGATCCTTCTGTAAAATTGAGATTCATCTGAACATATTTATTCAGGCTATCATGGCAATAATAAATAGAAATACATATGTTTCATAACACTACAATTACACTGAGTTGAAGTTGACATGATGCTGGTCACACAGTTTTATTAAACGTGAAGCAGAGATCTGCACGAGGGAAGGTACACGCTTGAAAGTCTTTTTCTCAAAATGAAAATAATACTGTATGTCTCTGCAATTTGCAGATACAGTCGGAGTTAGTTGGTGAAACATGCGGAAATTATATACACAATGAAAACACAGTTTCACAAAACCTGGCGCAGCATTAAATTAAAAGAAAGAAACAAGATGAAAAAAAAAATAGTCTGTACACAAGCGACAAATAATCTTTATCTACATCAACTATGCTTCGGAAACAAAAATAGTCTATTCACATATGTCAAAGGGTCTAACTCACAGACTACCTCACTACTACGTCCGATAAGAACACGTCCACGCTGCTGTGTGGAAAAACCATCGAGGGATGTATCGGCATCAGCCCTACCGTGTACACTTCCAGGTTGTACACTAACTAAAATGTGCGTATCTGCTAGTTTTGGTTGCTAAAATCTAACCCAAGCAAGGATTTAGAGACCTCTACATTACTGATGAATTCTATAAACATGCTTCTGTGCTGGGAACTAGGGGAAACGTGATCGAGCCGGATTGCGGTGAGGCACATTTTCTGAACAACAGGAATAAATATTGGAGAGAACTCACATGGAATTTCACGATTTTAGCGTTTGGGTAACAGCACTGGATTTCAAAGTTTAGCCTTTGAACTAAAACATTTTTAGCTTTCATCCCGTAATACCTTTTATCGGGTCCAATTGCCATCTGTGTTTTGTATAACCAGTGCTATTGTAAACAGTGTGTTATTACCCTCCATGTTCACACAAAGCCCTGTAGAGACAGTTTGGTTAGTTATAAAATGAACATTCAAATGTGGCTAGGATCTAATAAAATACTGTTGTAATACTTAACATAAAGAGCGAGGGCGCTCACTGTCAAACATGCATCAGTCTCCCTTTGTCCCTTTTCTATCACATCCATTTAATATCATGACTTCAAATTACAAATCCACTGTGAGCTTATATCCGGCCGCTTCACCTCCCACCTCAATATTTAAAATATGACAAGACAGCTGAGTCTCATTGTGAACCACATCAGCTGAGACCACAGTTTGCAGTCGTAACAGTTTGTGTTGTGACCGTGGCGGAGAATGAACGGTTGTGTGTGTTAGTGTGGGTCACAGCCATCGAGTCACAGCACCTCATGCAAGAAAAAGAGATAACTCCCTCACACCCACCTCCTGGTTTTTACTGTACATCCACAGTGCAGCTCTGCAGTTGAGATGAGAAAATGAGGCTCTGTAAACTGCTTTGTAGGGTATAGGATTAGAGGAAGGCATGCGAGTCAGTTTCTGCAGCTCCCTCCGTGTCAGTCTTCCGGGAGGTGGTTGCGTCGATTGCGGCTCTTCCTTCTGTCCAGCAGCGGCTTCAGTTTGGCCAGATCCCCCCTGAGGGGTCCGGGCGGCTGTGACTGCTGTTGCTGCTGCTGCTGCCTCTGCTGGAGATTCTGGAGCTCCTTCCTCTCTTTGCAGTACTGCTGAACAGCAAGGCTCTCTGCCGGACTGAAGGCTGACAACAGGGTCTTGGGGTGCAGAGAGCTGGCCCACGCCCACGGAGACTGCTGCTTGTCTGTCAGCACGCTCACCATGGCCTCGCTCAGCACGCGCAGACGGATCTTAGCGACGGTGCGTTTGAAGCTGTTCTCAGTGGTCAGGCAGTAGTAAAGGCCCTGGTCGGACAGCTGGACGGAGCGGATAAGGAGGCCTTGCTCGGTGGAGAGCACGCGATCACTCAGCTTTACCTGCAGACATCCAAATACAGGATTAAAAAAAAAAGAGAAGAAGAAAGGATTATAACTGAATGCAGAATCGTGGGAAGCTTTTGTGTTTGGATGAAAACAATGCCAGAATCTTTGCACTCGCCAAATCTCAACCCTTTTAAAATAGAAACACAGCATCCAAGCAGTCAGCTTTGGCTCCAAAAGGGTTCAAATTTTGACAAATGTGCAGAAAAACCTTTGCTCAATGTGTGACGAATTCTTGATAAATGAGTTAATCCACAGTCGAGTCAGGTGCGACTTTAACGGACAATAATCACATCGTGTGGCCAGACACCCTATAAACAGCTTCATTCCAATGACACAGACGAGAATGGGTTGTTGGCTGCCGGATGCTGGCATGTCCCTTATAGCTGTAGCCAGGCACTCGAATGTCCACAACTCCAGTATTTGTCGTCTAAAAACATCACAGCGCGGTCGGACAGACAGTCTGCTACATGATGCTCTACTAGATGTGTCTGACAACTGTTCCCCAAAAATATCTGCCAACTTCTCCCGGTCCTTCAGGAAGAGCGGGACAACATCCGACGAGCCAGACCCACCAACTGCCTGATTAATGTGTCACAGATATGTGACGCTACGTGATGCAAATTTTGGACACACTTGTTACTGAATTGTGATTTGTGGTTGATGACTCCACTCTCAATCTGCCTATTATCACTTCCAGTATAGTGCGTACTTGGGTGTTTCCTGACATCTATTTTGTTGGAACAATGTGGCTCTGAATCATAATATGCATCAAACATTATGAAGAATTAATGTAGTAGGACTAAAACACTTTTTCAAAATAGGAATGTGTATTTTCTCAGATGCTGAAAACATGAATTAGGCTTCTTGTGTGTGTAGTTGGTGTTGAAATGCTTTATTTCTGGACTTTTTTGAAGTACACTTGTATGCTCTGGATTCTGGATGTGATTTATAATAAATGTTGCTGCCTTGTAAGCCAATGCAACATGTGCATATGCATATGCATGATTAAAAAAAAATCATTAAACTGATGCTTATGCCCTTAATGTAACACTGCGTCCTTCTTTTCCATCGACTGCTGTAAAGTCAGCCAAGTCTCGGTTTGGAGAGGAGTCCAGTGATTACACACCATAAAACTCAAGTGATTTATTTTAAGGCCAAAGTCTATTTTCATGAGGAAACAGCTATTAAACGGCCATTACTCTGATCTTTCTCCACAGAGGTGCTAAATCCATAAAAGATGTGTCTTCATCACGTAGCCGCTCTCCATCCCAGCTTTATTTAATTTTCAACTGCTTTCCAAAGTGCTCCCACCATTTAAGGGGTGTCAAATATTTGTAAAATGTTTTCCCCCGCTGAGAGTTTCGTCATTAGTCAGGGCCCATATCGCATTTGATCTGTATCATTACTCATTACGATGCTCCCCTGCCAATAAGTGTTCACCGTGACATTCCTCAGGCGATGCGAGCGCTGATAACTCACATGAGCTCACTGGATCGCTACGACGTGCTTCGTGTTCGATGTAATGTTCAATCAGACGTGGGAGCGTGGCAGACTTCTAATGAGTTACATCTTTAATGATTTTCATTGTGTTCTCGGCGTCCGCCTCTTCAAACATCCAACTGACCTCTTTCCTCCTGTCGTTGTCCCTCTGAATAAGCCAGCGAATCGACGCCTGAGGAGACTTGGGAAGACACTCCAGGAAGGTGGTGTTGTTTTTCACGCCATACTGCGTCATCTCCACCGCGTTCCTGTAGGCTAATAAACACGCACAGACACACTCACAGAGTCAAGGGAGGCTCATCAGGCGTCACTGGCTGACAGACACAAAGAGCACAGATGGGATCAAATCTGTCTCAAGTCTCGTCACTGATGGTGAAATGTTGACTTAGAGCTTATTCTGGCACCTGCAGCACAACCAAACCCCACCCAGACTTGGCTTTCTACGAGCAACAGCCTTCTATGTACTGACTCAGTTTCCTCTCCTTTACTTTGTCGTTTTGTTGTTGCATGTAAATGGTTCATCACGCAGCTGGATGTATGACAGGGATGTGACTAATTAAGGTAATGGCCATATGCCCGGCTCCCAGAGCTCATGTTAATTTAGAGATATAAACGGTTCACGTGAATGGAACACCTCGGGGAGCAAATTTCTCTCCTCTCATTAAACTGCACCCTGCTAGTCCACTGGGTATACTTTTTTAAAAAACCAAAACATTATGCGGTTCCTAAAGCACAAACACTGCAGAAAAAACACTAAAACATCTGCAGGTGTAGCCTCAGCATAACCCTCGCTGGTGGTTTATATTTTTTTGACACATAAGTTTGTCGAGATCTGTCTAAATGTAAATCTGCTGTATAATGCATAAGAAAGAGTTATGAGTAGTGTCCATGTTTTAGTTAAAGAGCCCATATTGTGCAGATTTATAGGTTTGTAATTTTATCTTTATAATCGACTAGAATATGTTTACATGCTTTAATGTTAAATAAAAACACAACACATTTCTCATATTGTACATTGCTGCAGCTCGTCATCTCATTCTGTCTGAGATGCTTCGTTTTAGCTCCTGTCTCTTTAAGGCCTCCTCCTGAAAAGCTGTCCGCTCTGATTGGTCAGCTGGTCGGATGTAAGTGAGAAAACATAGTTTTCATACTAAAACCCCAGATCTATAGGCAGAAACAGTGGCCGAACAGAAGCAGCTCTAACGAGGAAATAACGTCAGACGGAGGGGAAGCTGCTCAGTTATTACTTGATGTTGTGCCACACTAACCACCCAGCAGCCATTTCTCTGTCTTTGCTCAGTGTTTTACTTTGGGAATCGCCTCAATGAGACCAACTAGCTTCAATGACACCTTGAGAGATAGACTGAACCATGCTCAGGGTCTCGGTCTTCTGTAATCAAAATATATGGTCACCCTAACCTCATTGCCATCACTGGTGTCAGACAGGCTAATGTGTTCGCTGTGGTAAATCATCTCAGAGTCATCCCTTTTCACAGTTATGAATAGGTCAGGACCCTCACCTGATGTGCTGAGGACATAAGCAGCTAACAGCTCCTGTCTGCTGAGGCCATAAACAACATTCAAATGTGTCACATGATGATGTAAATAAGTAACAGAAGCCTGGCCTTCGAATGAGGCGGTTCAGGCAGGTAAGGAGCCATGTTAACTGTGGGCAGGAGTAACTTCCTTTGTCGTGGGTTTTGTAAATTTGCAGACATTTTACATGCACAAAAAAGGTGTTACACATTAAACTGAAGCAAAGGGGAACATCCAAAAACCCCAAAATGATCTCTTTTAGTATTAAAACTACATTAATTAATTTTCTTTGTATGTTTTGGAGCAGGAGAACTCAACAGATGGCGTGAACGCACAACCCTGTTCTTTCTATCACATTAGAAATTCATCATGGCTAACACATTACCAAATAATTACACATCTAGTCAA